ATCAAACATGATCAAGGTAACGGAATGGAGGGGTATCATTGGGTGCTTCCTGCTGCTATGGATTCTCCTCTAATTTTCGACAACCAATAATTCTCCTTTGATTCAATGCAGGCACCTCTTCTACCAATTCAATGATGGATTACCTACAATAATCACACCATCAAACGGTGAAACATATATATTCAATCTGGTAGAAATGCTCTGTATGAGATCTTATGCAACTATGTAAGTGAACAAGTGAATAATTGACACCTGTTATGGTAAATAATTATCGTCACACCAGATGAAAAGAAAAAGAGCTTACCATAACTCACCAGGAGCTAGAAGTATTAAGACGGATTCCCAGTACATGATCCTGAAAAAGACAATGATAAGGCACACTACAAAAGTTAAAGTGTAAGAAAAAACAAATATGCACACATTTGATATGGTTGTATCACCTTTTGATAGGCAATTTAGGATGCAATTCAATGGCATCTAAAGTGCCTTCATCCATAACAAGATGAAACATTCTATCTAACTTTGTTTCAAGAGCATCATCAACCAAGAAACCGGACAAGAAGCAATGTCAACTACTTATTCACTTAACAAGATGAACAATAGCAGATTATCTCAAGAGATAAAATATAGTTACTAGGCACTTGTATTACATCACTGGATGCTGCCATACAAATTAACAGAGTAGTGATACAATTATATCAAGGTTCAATTTACAGCAGACAAAAGGTTCTCATTAGTTAGTTTGAAATAAGAAGCCATTTTACATGGCACATGGCACAGTAATATGAATTTAAAAAGCCATTTAATTGAGGAATGGTACTTGGTGATAAGCATGAAGGAGGTAAGATTTAACAATCAAAAAAGTTTCAAGTGTATAGAGCTAAAAATGAGTAAAAACTACCAAGAATTTGGTCTCAGTTACACAATGAACTTGATGTTGAAGAGCGTTCAAGGATTGCCCGGAAAATTAATATCCACCTATTACATCAAAGGTGTGTCAAAAGTAATGCACTGTCTCTGTGAAATACCACCTCCACCCCTTCCATCATGCAGAAAGAGATCAGTCTTAGGCACTTCTCTACAGTCTACCTCTTCTAAATCAATTAGGTCTCAGACCTTGAAAATTACATTTAAAACTATATGGCTACCCAATTGACGTGTTCAAAAAAGTAGGTCTAAAATAAGTAGGATTTTTACCTTTGAAATGAATATAAAATCACAAATTAGTTTTATTTTTAGAAGTAAAACAGAATATGATAAAGGAGCCATCAATTTATTGATACTAATTTACCTTTCCATTGCATTTTCTAGGATCCAAAAATACATTAAATACACAACAAATTATACTTGTCTAAACTGATCTAGAATATCATTTATCATAGAGTTAATAACTGAACTATTGCAAAACGAAGACACGAGGTAATGCTGAAAATATCACAAAGTAGGAGGATAAAAAGTTCCAGAAACCTAATATGTAATGTTTTTTCAGACGAAGACATGGATGAAAATTCAATCCAAAAAATGAAAAAAATATCAATTGAGGCAACCAAAACCGATTCAAAACAATTTTAAATTCGTATTTAAGAGCCGTCCTTGAGAAAGATTACCTGCGATAGACAATTCAAATCATGTAAATCGGTCATTTGATTTAGTTTCGAATGACTATTGCGATAAGGGATCGATCGATCCTGAAAAGTGTGTCGCGACCTGTGAACTCAAAGCTCCAATCGTAGCCTCTTGAAGCTGAGATGCGACCTCCCTTTATCCAGGTGCGGCACCATCCGCTCCAGCAAGAACAGTTTGGAAGAACACTGGTGAGAACTCCATCCATCGTGATGCGGATGATAACTCTGATGAATTCGGATACTCAGATTGTAAGATGCGGAGGTTAATGGCGAGATGAGAAGGGAGACTGAAGTCACAAAGCAGAAGATGAGAGAGCTGAGGAGGTTTAAATGTACGTATAGACGGAGAAGGCCGGCAGAACTGTCTAAAAGTAAAATTAAAAAAGTTAAAGTGAAAACATAAAAATTAAAAATGAAAAGAGAAAGTTACAAAGGACATAAATGATATGAAGCCACAAAAATGGACTATCCGGGTAATTTCCACTATTGTAAATCACGTTCAATACTGGAAAAACTCAATTTCCGGACCGTGTCCACCCCTAGTATTGAATTTGGCAACATTTAAGCTTGTAAATTGTTAAGTAATGAGTTCTGGGTTATAAACTTTGTAAACTAATGCTCGCAACACTTTTTCTTTTAATATGTATATTTCTTCTTTTTGGTAAGCATTTCATTTAAAATTTCTCAATTTTTCCACACTAATTGTCTTTAATATATCTATTTTTTCATCTTTCTCTATCATTCTTTACCAAAAGAAAAATCTTTCTCTATCATTTTTACACTTCTTCTGCACTATTTACTTTTCCAACCATTTCACCCTTAAATTATGTGGCATGTATTTGAATTAGGGGGGAATATATAAGGAAAAATTGAAAATAATAATCCCAATTATTACCGGTCCGCTCTTAATAATCCCAACTATCGATTATTCCTGGGTGGTCCCAACTATAGGGAGCATTTTCCAAAAATAGCCCCTAACCTGCTACAACCAGGTATAACAGGTCAAGTTTAAATGCGAACTATGCATAAACTCTAAATAATCCCAACTATAGTTGATCTTCTTTTATTAATCCCAATTATCAACTCTCAATTTTAGAAAAATATAAAAAAAATTATAAATTTTTAAATTAAATATTTTTAAACATGTAAAAATTATTATGAAAATTCTACAAATGTACCAAAGTTAAATAAAATAGTTTTAGTCATTTTTTATTTATTTTCGCTATTTTTTTTCTTTTTTCCAATTTATTATTCCCAGTTATGTGAACAAGTTATGATTTAGTATTATTTTCCTTTATTCAATTTTACAATTTCTGTTTTCAAAAAGCAAGATATGACTAAAAATTTTATGATTGAAAGCATTATTCTAGTTTTTTCATAAAAATATATTTTATTTAAATTTTATGCCATGTTATTTCTAAAAATCTAAATTCTCTATTTTATCCATTTTAGTATTTGTAATTTCTTCTATTACTGAATCGTCGCATCAAGTACAACGTCACACCCAAACCACCGCATTGAATGCGGCCACGTGCTATGGTCGGCGTCACCCTATTTGAGTTCACCCTCCACCGCTGGTTTCTTGACACGTGTACCCTCACTGATTAGATCTAGCATTTATAACTGCTATAAATAGCAGCCAATTTTCCCATTGTAACACAACTTTCTATATCAAATACATACTCTCTCTCTTACTTATTGCTCTAACTTCTCTCTAGGTTATTCCCCTCAATAACCCCTCGGATAAGTTACCCCCGGGTACACCATCCTTCATGTAGAAAATTAAAAGTGTATCGCTTAAAATTAAAATAATAATACATTTTCATTAACATAGCCAAAACCTCCAAATCCTATGTCCCGAATCACTAGAAGTCAATGATAAACTATATCATATAATTTATAGAATATAATAACATAAAATAAAGAAAATAGAAAGAAATAGAAAATACTAAAACTGAAAAAATAGAGAATTTTTATTTTTATAATTAAGATAACATAACAATTTAATAAAATTGATTTTCATGAAAAAAATCTAAAATAAAGATTTAAATCACAATTTTTTAATCACAATATACTTTTTAAAAACACAAAATGTAAATTTGAATAAAGGAAAATAATACAAAATCATAACGTGTTAACAAAACTAGGAAAAATAAATTGAAAAAAGAAAAAATGAAATTTTAGTGAAAATAAATAAAAAATGACTAAAAATATTTTTATTTAACTTCGATACATTTGTAGAATTTTCATAATTATTTTTACATGTTTAAAAATATTTAATTTGGAAATTTATAAAAATATTATTATATTATTTTAAAATTGAGAGTTGATAATTGGGATTAATAAAAGAAGATCGACTATAGTCGGGATTATTTATAGCTTACGCATAGTTCATATTTAAATTTGACCTGCTATACCAGGTTGTAGCAGGTTAGGGACTATTTTTGGAAAATGGTCCCTATAGTTGGGACCACCGAGGAATAATCGATAGTTGGGATTATTAGTAGCGGAATGGCAATAGTTGAGATTATTATTTTCCATTTTTCCAATATATAATTAATATTGTTGAAATTACAAGACATGCTAAGATAGAGTAAATAAAATTTCGAAAATAAAATAGATGATACTCCGTACTATTTGTAGAAAAGTCTCGTTTTTCGTTGGAGCGATTTTTACAAATCAAGACATGCATGATAATGATTGCCCATTTAACACCCTTTAAATATTAAACTAGCTGGGAAGGGAGGAATTAATTAATTAATAGTACTTCCGTCATACGGAGTACAAACAAAGATTAAATGCAAAGAAACACTAAATTAAATAGAATAATGATTGCATTATTATCCCATTCAAATTAAATTGAGGCCACGCCGAGAGGTTCTGTAGAGTTTGATGAGCCTTTTTTTTTATAATATTTCATATACTCCGTACTTGGGAATAAATTCTACGAGTATTTCCTGTGAAGTATAATGATTACTTTATAAGAAGCTTTTGCCAAGAACACCTTCATTGCCAAGTTTTATTCTTATATCCATTGAGTCCGGCTTCGTGTACACGTCGGGTTACACGCCGGTCAAATTGTCTGTATACAGACAATTTGATCGGCGTTTTAAGAAGAAAATCGATTTCCATGCATACAAAATATAAAGAGTTGTCTGTATCACAGACATTTTAGACCTTAATTTGTTTCTGTGTGAAAATCGATTTTCTTCGTAAAACGCCGCTCAATATGTCTATGTAACCGGTCAAATTGTCTGTACACAGACAATTTGACAGCGTGTAACCCGACGTGTAAAACTTGGGTGTACAACGGGAATTTTCCATATCCACTTCCTCCCCTTCCCCTATAAAGTCCCACATTCTTGCAGACTTTTTTCACAAATCCCAAAAAAAACAGTCCACCCCAAAAGGCCAAAACAAGAAAAAGGTCAATCGGTAATTTGCATAGGAATTGTATTCACTAATTAAAATAGTCCTAGATGGCTAGATATTGATCAAAAGTGTCCATATTTTTAATTGTCATTTTTATTTCTTTAGCAGATTGATATTGATATCCGCAATATCATATTTTCAAGAAAACGAAGTATAAAATTCTCAACCTTGATTATATGTATGGCTAGGAATGGTGAAGTTTACAATAATTGGAAGGGTGAGAGATGGAATGGCACTTGCAGCAGGTAAGAGATATGTGAATGAAGAAAATGATTCTTTCACCACTCACAAGCAACAAGCAGAGTTCATTCTTCAAGAAATCTCAAGAGGGTACTTGCCTTCTTCCAACATGACCATTCGTGTAGATCACCATTACTTCAGGTATAATCAATTCTTAACTTCTGTTCAATCTTAGCTCTTGTTTGGTAATGGTAAATTGAATTTTCTTCAAGGACTTGGGTGAAATAGATTTTAATTAATATAAGTAAGTCAAATACTACCTATTAATTACTATGCTGATAAGCAAAGCCAGATTAGCAATAATGCTACCAATCAGTGATTTGCTAAAGCAAGTTCCTTTTAGCAAAGGCAAAGGAGAACTCAAAAGTAGAATGTTAGTTTGATCACCTTATTATTAAGGATAACATATAGCAAATTAAATTGCCAAAGAAATCCAATTTTCTTTATGAAAATTATATTCTCTACCATTATTCTTGGAGTCATTTCTTCTGTATTCACCATTTGGTTTGAAGGATTATGGTTGAAAGTGGGGTATGTTTTATGACACTGTGTGACTCATCCTATCCAACAAAGCTAGCATTCCATTACCTCAAAGATTTACAGCGCGAGTTTGACAAGTTGGATAGGACACTTATGGAGAGAGTTTCTAATCCATATAGCTTCCTAAGACTTGGTATACCTTATAGATATCTATATACTAACTCAACACTAAAGAATAGTACACAATCTCAAGGACAAATGCAATAACAGAAATTGGATTTTATTATTTCCATTGCAGATACAATCATTGGCAGTGTTAGAAAGAAATATGTTGATACAAAGACACAAGCAAATATACTAAAGATGAAAACTGAAATTGGAGAAGACTTAGATGTCATTACAGATGATTTGTCAGATATAATTGCCCGAAAGCAAAAGCATGGTAAGATTACCATTCATAAATCTTTATATATTTATGCTCCTGTTTCCAGTTTGATAATGTTCAGTGTAGGAATAAGGAATTCATTGGTTTTCTGGGAGACCTCCGTGTATAGAAGTAAAAATAGGTGTTTCTCATGAATAAGAGTACTGTGTTTTATTCTGTCAATAAAAGTAAATTATGCCATCCTGAAATTGTACTGTCATCCATGGATTATAATGCTATGTAGTACTCCTAGTTATGGAAACCAAGGGTAACTTATATTTTTTGCCATTGTTACCAGAGATTCTGGAGAAAATGAAAAATGCTAACTTGAGTGATTCTCCAATCTGGGGTTCAAAAATGCTTGAGGTATGTCATTTGTGAGAATGTGCTGATGCTAAAGTTCATAGATTTGCTAAAGATTTGACACATTTTCTTGTCTGATTAGATCATTGCTGTGAAATGGATTCCCATTGGCATACTTGTTAATGTAGCTGTTCTTCTTCTTTGGAGCAGTTTTGTTTTCAAGGATGAATTCCAGTGATTGATCTTAAAGACTACACTAATGTTGTATAGGTTGAAATTATGAAGTAGTCACATACTCACATCCTCACATGAGCAGTGGTAAAAGAAAACCATGAGTCTCCCCTTGATATATGCAATGTCCATATGGAATTTCCACCAAATACCCTCTCTATGTATATGAATTCAAAAGGAGTTTTTTCATTCATCAACCCTAGCACTATGAAGGTGACATTGTTGTCTTAGAACTATTCTTGATGCATCCTTCGTTTATGTAATGGAGAATGAGTAAAATTAGAATTACAAACTGTAAATAAAAAATGATAAAAACTCTCTTATATAAACTCCGCGCAATTGTAATACTATCTTCCATTTTTTTGTTGCAGCATTAAAAAATTTACAATATTCGCATGCTCTACTTTCACTACATTTTATTTATTAATATATGAAAATTATTTTTTTGAAAAATATTATTGAATTCGTTTCATTACAAATTTTCCTAATTTGATTCTAATTTTTTAGTATTAGAAGATTAAATACAATGACGGTCAAAGTTGTGCATTGGTTAGTGCTAAAATGAGAATATTAGAACTAAAATGTGTACTCTTGACTTACGAGAGTAAAATATGTACAAACGAGCTCCTTGCCCGCATGAGTTAAAAAAGGCACAACTTTAGATTACCATTCAAATGACATTATAGGAGTGGCATTCAAACGACATTACAAACTATGTTTGATAGCCCAAAAGTTTTATTTTGAATTCACTCATAATAAACACAAACCTGAATCAAATTATGTTGAAGAAGTAAGGTAATATTCAATCATCTGAAGCAAAGAGAAGGACAATCCATGTACAGCTTGGAGAAAAGTAAAGAAGAAAGAGATGGTCTAGCTAAGACGTAATCTAAAGCTAAGTAATAACAAGTTCAGTCTAAAAGCAACTAAAAGTTGACTAGATCGTCCTTCATGGCCTCTAGCTCCTTTATATTGGTGATTAGAGCAAGTCCATCTTCACCTCTTCTTTGAACCAAGTTATCTTCGCATTCAATAAATTTAACTTCGGAAGGATGACATTAAATAATGTCACTTGAATTTGAGATATCCAAGCTTCTATATTCTCGTAAAAAGCTCGTGACACTTTATGTCTTGAACACTTTCACACTTTATGTCTCTAAAGAACGCCATTTTTGCGCAAATTATACGGTGGGATACGTCCACCTTCCGCATGGTATGCCGATCCCACTTTTAAGGAAGTTAGGTGACTTTCCTTTTCGCCCATCCTTTATCTGCAGCTTTGTTATTTCCTTTTCCTTTGTTTTTCTTTATTTTGTTTTCTTTTGTTCAATTCTTTTCTTTTTCAATCAAATCAAAATACCTAAAACTTAATTGTAATCAAAGAGACAAAATGTTTGGCCACCAAGAAGACTCGCGCAAGAAGACTGTCAATTTGACGTCCTCTAAAACTACTATTAGGAACTCAAATATAGTTTATTGAAATTTGGAAACAAATACGGAGTAAATAATTGGGATGAGATTTGAGAGAGATAGGCTCTAAAATAATTATATAAAGGTTTTATGTTATAATAATTAAAATAAATAAAAAGCCTTAAAAGCTAAAGAGATGTGAAGACTGAAGAGGCGTGTCTTTTATTGATGCATCAACAATTGTATTGATTTTAAAAACTACAACCGATCTTACTTAAAATTAATGTATATATTCTTTTTTAGCTTGACTCTGTTTAAGACTTTTATTTATATTTTAAAATTTCAAATTGTCAACAAAATTAAACATTAGTATAATTAATTGAACTTAAGAATAAAAAAGATGCATACTCAAACTATATATAAAGAAAAAAAATTGGGCCTATTTTTTCTTCTATTTTTTTCGGGCCTAGGGCTGTTGTCCCTCTTGCCCCCTCAGAACCGGACCTGGGCCTATTAATTGTTAATATTCAATTGAGTAGGTGGATTTAGTAATTTAGAGGTTGTCAATACATTTCCAAAAATCTTTAACTTTAGGCAAATTCGGTTCGGAAGTTTTGGTTTAACATTTCCATTAATGATATAGGTTGGTTAAACTGGCAAATTATACTGTGGGATCGGCCCACCTTCCGCATGGTGTGTCGATCCCACTTTAATTAGAGGAACTTACGTTACTCTCTTTTTTGCACTTGCTTTGTCTGGAGCTTTGTTATTTCCTTTTCCTTTCCTTTTCTTTATCTATTTTTCTTTTGTTCAATTCTTCTCCTTTTCCATCAAATTAAATTACTAATAATTTAATTTCAATTTTACTTTTCTTTATCTTCATCATAAATTATAATTGAATCTATTTTTTTTATTCTTTATGAATACATAACAAAGAGTTTATTAATCTATATAAAATAAGTATACTGCATTTCATATTCATACACTTTTTTATTTGTGTAATATTTTTTATATTCATGCACTTTTTTTGTAATATATTTTTATATGTATACCCTTTTTCTATAATATATATATATATATTTATATATATATATATATATATATATATATATATATTATCTCTTTTATATGTTTGAGAGGTTTTTAAAACATTGAGTTTGTTTATTTTGATTCATGAAGTTACATTTGATAATATATCATGAAGTTACATCTTTTGTGATCAAGTTATATCTTATTATGCGTAAGTAACATTTTGTTATATGTAAGTTACATCTTCTTATGTGCGAGTTACATCTAATTATTTGTGATTGTTTACTTTTCTTTATCTTTAACTAATTAAATTACAATTGAATTAATTTTTTCGTTACCAATTTACTACAAAATTTTATTAATCCACATAAAATAAAATAAGTATATTGTATTTCATAATCATACACTACTTTTTACTGTTTTCCTTCAACTAAAATTACTAACGGAATTTTTTTGTTATGTTTTTACATTTATACATTTTTTTAAAAAAATATTTTTATATTCACACACTTTTTGTATAATATATTTCTTATCTTTTTATATGGTTTTTGCCTTTTAAAGACATTAAGTTAGAAAAACCGTGAGATTACATTTTTCATATGTGTGAGTTATGTTTATAGACAAATTCTATAGTTAGATTTCGTATCATATGAATTTACATCTATTTATGCACGAGTTACATTTTTTTGTGCGTGAGTTATATCTTCTTGTGCGTGAGTTACACTTAGACTTGCCCAACAAGTTACATTTTGCATACACCTAAGTTAGATTTTTTCATCAAAATGAGTTACATTTTCCATAACGCCAGTTACATACCAAAAATAAACCCCAAATATTGAAACAAAAAATTCATTTTTTTGCAAAAAAAATGATTTGTTTGTAAAAAAAAAAGATATTCAAAAAAAATTATGGCTTCAATATTTAAAAAAACATATCCACTACCTATGTAAAGTAATTGAGAAATTAGACTACTTTTTTCCATTGTTTACATTGAAATCAAGGTTTTATTTCTTCTTTTTCATATTAGAAAAGTTACATCGCAACTTGCATGCAATTATATTACATATTAACGTGAGTTACATCTCATTACACACAAGTTGCATCACCTTGTCTCTAGGAACAAAAAAATTTATTGTTCACGCATTACTGTTCACGCGTGAAATAGCTGTGGGAAGCATCATGCTCACCATGAGCATCATGTTCACGTATACCAACCGGGTTAAACTCTAGTGAATTCATGCGTTTAGTCAATTCATGCGTACCACTGTACAATAGGCCATGATGGCAGTCAAGTCTATCAAATTCAAAGTCAATGTACAACCCCTTTCTTAATTTAGAATAGATTTAAGAAATAATACATTTATGACTAAAATAAAGATTGTTTACAAAAATGTGACTAGTGAGTAGTGCAGTAAAGAAATTAGGGATGGACATTTCGGTTTTCGGTTCGGTTTTCTTAGGTTTTGGTTCGGTTTCGGTTTAATCGGTTTGATAGAAAATGTACCAAATACAAACCGATTAAGTTTCGGTTTGGTTTCGGTTTGGTATGATTCGGTTCGGTTTGGAGTTCGGTTTACCAAAGTATTAAAGTTTGGATTGAAAAAAAAAATTAACTCAAAATAATGAACCAAGAAGCGATAGTAATGAACCAAATATAATGTTAGATATAAATTTGCAAACAGTAACAAAACACATATGAACCAAAAATATATAAGCATGACACATTTGTAAGCAACAACAACAACGGGAATGAATCAAATTATATATAAAGCTGAAACAAAAACAAAACCGGTGCTTGTAATTAATGAACCAAATATATATCAGTAGTAGATAATAAATTATAGTTAAATACTATCTACTTAAACCACTATGATTGTTGTCAGTGGCGGAACCAGCTTCGTGATCTTGGAGGGGCACATTACCTTTAGAAATCTATGTACAAAATCGATTCATATGAATTCTTTGTCAAACTTGAGCCTGACTATCCACAACCACAAAAAATAACAAGCTCAGTACATGGCTATAGCCCAAAATACACAATAGCAAAGCCGCTACGCCAGTCACCTCAAAACAATAATGCTCTCGATCAGGGGCAGAGGCAGAGCACTAGGTCGGGCTGGTCCGGTACAAAGAATATTTTTAGAAAAAAATTTACACAAAATTTTTTACCTTAAAAATTAAGCCATTTTTAAAATTTGAGGTGGGCCATGGCCTAGGTTGGCCCACCCCTAGCTCCGCCCATGCTCTCGATCAGTCGCTAGACCTAGTGGTCGTGAGCGTTATTCACTTATTCCGGCCTAATTCTAGCGAATTCCAAAGAAACCCTCTCAATGTAATCAACCCTCCAAGCTTAAACATTAGTAGTCGAGCTCATAAATATATTACTCCCTTTGTTTTGTTAAGATTTTCTTACATTTTCTTTTCAGCCTGCCTCATTGACATTGATCAATATCAAATTTGATTGTGGTTCTAAATTATTTTTACATTCAAAAGTTGATTGTCGAGCACCCTGTATAATATATATGTAGAGTCATTCTCATGTCCAGCAGCCCCCGGTCCGAACGTCATCTGAACACCGCTGTTTGGGGAGGTTCCAGGTGGAATTTTTTCATGAAATATTTTGAGCATGTTCCTCATCAAGTCTAGTTTATCCGTACCAAATTTTAGCTTAAAATCGAATCGCGAAGTTAGTCAAATAATTTTTTGAAGTTAACTGCTCCAAATTATACATAGAAAAACGCAGTTAACTTCAAAAACTTATTTTACTGCCTTCCAGACCGAATTTTAAGCTGCAATTTAGTATGGATAAACTAGACTTGATAAGGAACATGCTCAAAAAATTTCATCAAAGTATTCCACCGGGAACCGCCCCAAACAGCGGTGTTCGGACGGCATTCGGACAGAAACGTGCTGGACCTGAAAATTTCTCTTTCTATATATAATAAAAAGAAATCTGCAGAGCCGCAGGGGCACAAGCACCCCCAAACTCTAGTGTAGTTCCGCCCCTGATTGTTGTAGTTGTGAATGTAACTCTTGTAGTAAACTCTAGTCCTAAACACTAAAATTAAAGAATTAAAGCTTCAAAAAGATTAACATCAATCAAATTAATAAGAGAAATCTTATATTTTTGTTTGGTTTAGTTTGGTGTAAGTTGGTTTTGATTTGTAATTTTAAAAAAATAAGAAATTATTTCATTTTTAGATTAGTTCGGTTGTATTCGGTTTTATTTGGTTTTATGATTTCGATTCGGTTTGGGTCGGTTTAATACGGGTTGGGAGGAATACTACCAAACTCAAACCAAATTACAAATGGTTCGGTTTCGGTTCGGTTTGGTACGGTTCGGTTCGGTCAAACCGAACCGTTATGCCCACCCCTAAAAGAAATCATCACTAGTGGAAAAACGTCAAACGGAGGCGCTTTGTTTGAGACGCTTTTCAGCGCAAGCGCCTCCGTTAAATGAATATCTTTTTTTTTTTTACCAACGCGTGCGGCGCTTTTGGGCAAGAAACGCCTCCAATATGTTTCCGATTTTTTTTTTGAATAAACTGGCGTGCGGCGCTTCTGGGCAAGAAACGCCTCCAATATGTTTCCGATTTTTTTTTTTTGAATAAACTGGCGTGCGGCGCTTCTGGGCAAGAAACGCCTCTAATTCCGTTTTTTTATTTCGCACAAACGTGCGGCGCTTTCCTTACGGAAGCGCCTCTAATCATCATCTTTTTTTTTTTAATTTTCAGCCCAAGCGTGCGATGCTTTCTGTAACCCTAGCTAGCTAAGCTCGATCGATTGGAACAAGCTGCGGGCTAAGGACGACGATCTCGAACGTGACGAGCAGCCGACGTAGTCTGTCCGCCTCCCACCGTCTGTCCGCCTCCGTGCATCTGCTAGCGCCGCCGCCGTCGTCTGTTCGAGGAGATTGTTGGAACTACACCGCTCGCCGTCGGTCCGACGTACTCTGTCCCTGCTCGCTCGCCGTTGGCTGGTCGCTCGGCTACAACTGCTCCGGCACGTCGTCGACGGCTACGGCTCGGCGTGGACTGTTCCGGCTCGGCGTGGACTACTCCGGCCAGCATCGCATAAAGGTCAGTTCATTTATCAATTACTCCCTCCGTCCCAATTTGTAAGATACTTTACGGTTTACGATGTTTGACCGACGATAAAGCAAATTGATCCTTGTCAACACTCAAATTGGTTTTAGAAAATAAAATTTACATATTCAGAAATTACAATAAAACCGCTACAAAAGCTGCAAAAAATAATTCAAATTTCAAAAACTTTTGATATACAAAGTAAAAAATTAAGAGTGGTTTGTGTTGACCAAGTGAATAGTAAATGTATCTTACAATTTGGGACTGAGGGAGTAATTTTTTGGTATATTTTGGTTGATTTCAATATTATTTGATTTTAGATTGAATGTTTTTCGGATTAAAGTATATTTCCAATGATATCCATTGTTCCCATGTTTAGACTTCCTTTATTTTTAATGGAATTACATTTAACATTGATAAAGGTATTTTGATTAAAGTATATTTCCAATGATATCCATTGTTCCCATATTTATTGATGAAGTTGTTTGATTATGAATATTGCGATTAGTTTATTTTGAAAAGAGGTTGAAGTTAAGGTATGGTTTTATATGTCTTATAAAACTCTTCAAGAGTCAAAGGCACGGAAAAATGTCGGAGTAGGGGAGACTTTTCCAATCTAGCTGCTTTAATTATATACGGAGTATTAAAAAAACTTTAAAAGTTGAAATTTTCCATTTGAGCTGGCAATAATGTTTGAGCCGTTCAAATATTCTCAGCATCTATTGGTCGATTCATTGCTCGGCTGCACGCCTGCAACTACTCCAGCACGCCGTCGACTTCTCCGGCTCCCCATTGACTGCGTCGGCTCTCCGCAGACTTCTCCGGCCCGCATCGCAGGTCAGTTTATTTTTTAATTAAGTTTTTGGTATATTTTGGTTGATTTCACTTTTATTTGATTTTAGTTTAAATTTTAGTTTAAATGTTTTCAGATTAATGTATATTTCCTATGATATCCATTGTTCCCATGTTTAGGCTTCCTTAATTTTTAATCAAGTGGGAATTATACTTGACATTGATAAAAGTGAGTTTATTTGTTAATTTTTTTGGCATATATATTATGTTTTTCATTTTTATTTGATTTTACTTTGATTTTTTTGGACCGCTTCGGCTCACAGTTAATTATAATTTATTAATTGTTTATTTGACATGGTTATCAATGTATTTTATTTGATTATAGTATGTGTAATTATTTATTGTATTATGACATTATTGTGTGTATTTCTTTTTGTTTTTTTAATGTGAAAAGAAAAAGAGAAGAAAATGTGACCTGAACGCTTATCTGATTACAAAAAAGACTCTGAATATAAAAGAACGACACTTTGCCGGCATTCCGGGCATCCTTTTTGAAATTGTACCCCTTTTCTCACTACCTTTATCAATATAAAAGCTTTTTTAAGATTTTAGTGCCTACCTCAAGTCCCGACATCCTACAAAGATGGCATAGCATTTTGTATTTATTATTTTTACACTTCAACAAGTATTTCATAAATTCAACTAATCTCCCTGAATATAAGACTTGTTCACTTCCACAAAACAAAATGTTTATTGAGCACGAATATAGCAGTTAGCAAATACTCCATCCGTTTCTAAAAGAAACTCACACTTTCCTTGTTGATGAGATGTTTCAAAAACAAAGTCACACTTCCCTTATTTCTTTATTTGGCAAAGAAATCTACATCCAAACAGTGCCAAACAGTTCCAAACAGTGTCAAACAGTGTCCAAACAGTGCCAAACAGTGTCTAAACAGTGTTTTCTACAGTAAAGTCAATTTATTTCCTTAATAATCGTGAAGTCAAACCGTGACTTTCTTTTGGAAACGGAGGGAGTATATGATATTGCAGGTACACACTATGAGCGACGATGACGGAGATGAGCGTGGTCATAATCAAGATCCTCATGGCGGCGGTGGCGGTCAAAGAGACAGCGAGGGGCGAAAAATAATTGAATTTGCTGATACCGATGCTGTCATCGGTGAGTGGGCTGAAGAGTTTAAATCATTCTTGGGGAAGATGGTACGTTCCCGAGTGAGTATAAACATTGATAGTTGGAAGAAAGTTTCAAAAGCGAATAAAGATCAAATCTTTAAAGAGATACAGGTACCTACAAAATCTCCAATTTTATTAGCCGAAATATTTATCTTCATTTCACTATATAATATACGCTAGCACTTTATTTTTGATGTTATCATGCAACATGACTATGCTGTGGAGGATAATATGAAAAAACCATTATTGAAAAAGTTGGGCAAAATGCACCGAGATTGGAGAAATCGATTGCGATCAGGTTTCATAAATAAGACTCGTCAAGTGGGAAAGGATTGTGGGGAAGCTTTTGAGAAGTATAAAGACCAACTTACCAAAGAAGAGTAGGATAGTTTCGTGGCAAAGACTATGACTCCTGAGTTTGTGGTACGTCATAGAATTAAAAATTTTCAATATTTTAATTAAGTAGTTGTTTAATATTTATGAAACATTGAATAGGCTTTGAGCGAGAAGAATAAACAAGCTGCACTTCAGAATATCTATCCTCATCATATGGGTCGTTCAGGATATGTTCTTTCCATACCGAAATGGAAAGAGCAAGGATTATTAAATCAGTTTCTTACCGGTTCAGAAGTAGATTCAACAAACTCTAGCACAACCACTTCTGGTGATATTCCAAGACATGTCACTTGGTTTTGTGCAAGGTCTGGATTAACATCGGACGGTCACATTGTGTTTCCTGGTAATACCGAGGGCATGCGCGAGAAAAAAGAGAAGTTGGTAAGTTATAGTTAGTATATGTATGCTCATATAATTAAATCATGTTTACTTTTTAACATTAAATTCTATTGCTTCTGTACTAGGATAAACTTCAAGAAGATGTAGCAGCAGGAACGTGGAAGCCAAGTGGTCGACATGATATATTGACGGAGGTTGTTGGGAAGCCTGATTACCCTGGACGTGCACGTGGCGTCGGTGGTGGTGTGGGTTATACACATGTCTTTGATCGAGAGTCGAGAAGCACACATCGAGATAAGGTTGGTAATTTGAGTGATGTTGACCTAAAGCAGTTGCAAGAGCGTTTGATGAAAGACATGCAACATTACTTTGTTCCAAGAAGTGAAGTGTCTATAGGGGATTCAATGCCTGCTTCCGAGGCGGCCCGCGTGGATACTATGAACTCTGCTGCACCCCATCTTACAAAAACATTCATTGTAAGTAACATTTTATTAATTATTTATGTAGAAAATGTTTTATTTTTCATTTGTATGTGTACATACATACATGCAGGATGGTGCATCTTGTAAGCTTGCTGTTGAGTCACACACTCATCCTGGTGATAAGAGTTTGGACTTTGTGGCCATGGTTATAGCCTACAACACGCCTGTTGGGTCGTTAATCCATAATGTACCGATGTGTGAAAACACAATCAAAGTGAACATATGTATGGCATATCGAGAGTTTGAAGACTGTCCATTGCTTTATCCTAATGAAGCCGCTGATATGAATGTTGTAAAAGAAGTTGTAGGTTCATATGTTCAATGGCCATCTCATTTGGTTTTTTTAGGGAGAGGTAATGAAGTTATTGTTTCATATTTTTTACTTTTGTTGCTTATTTCGATATGAAATTCTTTCATACATTTTTATGTAATAATTATTTTAGGAACCACCGTCTAAGTCAAAAAAGGAGGATGGAGCTAAGAAAAAAGTACCCTTTATCGTGAGAGATTCACCAAAAGTAACAGTTGAACCAGCTCACATTCATTGGTCAGTGAAACTGTTCTTCATTCACTTACAGATGATCTTTTAAGATTGCATGAAAATCTTGAGTGGTATGAGCCCGATCTTTGTAAGTTTTCTATTCCTCTTCCTGCGGAGTTGTTCTGTTATATTGATGATCACCAATTTGGGACCGTTATTGACCGTGAAGACTTGAGTCAATTTCTTGAGAGTGATTCTGTTGATCTTTCAATTATTCAGACCTTTATGCTGTAAGTATTATAATAAGTTTACAAGCACTCTTGAATATTTGTTAGACTTAATTACTATTGACTAATTATTAATATTATAATTTCACATGCATGTAGTTCTGTAAATGCAAAACTGATTGAGTTTGGTCGTGATGATGTGGGTCTTTTGTGTCCTTGGATTTGTTCTTTTAAGTATTATAAATTGGATAAAAAGGGCACATTGACTTACATGAAGCATGCTCTGACTGAAATGTTTGAAAAGAATATCATTTTCTTGGCATATAATGAAGGGTATGATTCATATATTACATTCACTTTTACATATTATATTTATTGATCGTGACATATGAAATATTAACCCATTTTCTATTCTCTTTGGAAATATAGGTATCATTGGGTTTTGTTTGTAATTTGTCCAAAGGTTGATAAGGGCTATATTTTCAATTCATTGCCAAGTTATTCCAATATTGCTATTCAAAAAGATCTTACGATGTATGTATTCTTAATGATTTAGTTGTGATATTTAACATTTATATTTAACATTTATACTTGTATGTCAACATTGAGCATATATATATATATATATATACATTGAGCTTAATTATCATTATAGGATGTATAGAGTTGCGTCTACACAAAAGGGTCGTGGCAAGCCGATCAAATGGCATAATATGAAGGTACTTTCGTCATATATCTTCTCTTATTTACATAAGTTATGCTTTAATGTAAAAAATATCATATTATAAAATAATAATTTATATTTGTCATCTAATATATAGTGTGCAAGACAAACGGGCAACACAGAATGTGGATATTATGTGATGAAGTTTATCTGGGAAATAATAACTTCTGTTGGAAGTTCAGATATTGCACAGGTATTTAAATTATATATACTTCAATAGGTGGATTTCATTAAATCATTTTACTTATATACGATAGTATAATTTAGTTTATCATTACTTATTTTATCTATATTTGTATGATTACTTTCAGGTTTGGAATGCAAGAACTGAGCCATATACAAAGGAGGAGTTTGATGACATTAGAAAAGTACGGGCTAGGTTTTTTGTAGATGAAGTGTTATGACATTAGAACTGAGCCAAACTTGAATGTGTTTTATTATAATGTGATACAAATTTGTACCTTTTGAATTGAATTTGTGCGAAACGATTTTATCGTTATTCTGGTTTTATGAATGAATGAATGTGTTTTTTTGAATTGGTTGACAATGGATCTGTAAATAAAACAGGTTATATAGTATTTTAAAAAAATATATAAAAAATAATAATGAAATTTGGAGGCGCTTTTTATGATAAAAGCGCCTCTAATTCAGTTTACGTAGCACATTTTGGAGGCGCTTTTTTCGTCAGAAGCGCCTCTAATTCAGTTTACGTAGCACATTTTGGAGGCGCTTTTTTCGTCAGAAGCGCCTCTAATTCAGTTTACGTAGCACATTTTGGAGGCGCTTTTTTCGTCAGAAGCGCCTCTATTTCAATCACGTGTGCGGCGCTTTTACTGTCAGAAGCGCCGCAAACTTCCGAATTTTTTTTTTTTTTTAAATATTAGAGGCGCTTCCAGTCTAAAAAGCGCCTCCAATTGAGATTTGCGGCACATTTTTTAGAGGCGCTTCAAAGCGCCGCACGTGAGCCATTTGAAGCGCCTTTGATTAACGATTTTGCACTAGTGCATAGTGACTAATGTTTAATTTTTAAACTTAAGTTACCGTGACATTACATTGGAATAACTATTAGTCATATTTATGTAAATAATTTTTATTTTAGTGATATTTTTGTAAAAGATCCTAGATTTAAAGATTGTATTTACCATTGTCAATAAAAAGTAATTGAAAACTCTCATCAGTTGTTATGACGTGGGAGCAGTCCATGGTTAGCATGGTGCTCCCAGGCCTGAAACACCGGTGAATAATAACACGTGTGAACAATAGCTTTTTTTGTCTCAATAGCAGGGTGATGTAACTCGCGCAGAGGCGGGTATAGCATTTCGGAGGCCCTAGACAAAAAATACCATATAAAAAAGCACCCCAAGTTGAAAATGAGATAAATTGAATAAAAATACCATATGAAAAAAGCATATTCAAAGTGCACAATATTATATTTTAAATTTTAAAAGGATAAATTTTTAAATGCGAACTTATTCTTTCTTTTTGTACATTACGAGTTAACTTTTCATTTGCTCGACAATACCTACATATTTATAGATAATACAAAAATCACAAACAAATCAATTAACAAAAAACACCGAAAACTTCTAAATAAATGACAAAACAAACATAATCTACTTTACTACTACCAATACCATCAAATTAACTATTTCATACTCCGTATATTTATCATCTAATACATACAACATCAATATAGCTATAATAAATTATTAACCTAATAATTTTAAAATAATACTGAGTACTAATTAATCATAAGTCTAATTTATCAAGTATTTAACTTTACACCAAATTATTAATCCAATTTAGGAATTTACGTTAAATAGCAAAAAGAAAATTGACTTTGGTGCTAGAGTGCTTCTCTCTAGTCCTCTGCTTTACAACAGCTTTAGGCTTAAGGCCTTCTGGCCTTTATATTTAGACCTGTGATATTTCACTACTTTATTGATTAAACATCTAAATTCTAAAGAGAAATCAGAAATAGACCTATAGAGAATCAATCGAATGGGAGAAAGAAACAATGAGTAATAACATAGTAAGAGAAGGACGGGAGGAGAGAACTAGAGAAGTTAGAAACAGAGATTCACTCATGTCTCACTCAGGTTGACGTCGGGCGGCGAGGTATTCGGACGGTGGGCAGAGAGTCGCTGATTGGGAAGCTGGTTGCTGCTTGGGAAGCTGATTGCTGCTTCAGAAGATTGAGGACGAGAGAAGTCGCTGGCTACTTCCCCATTCAACATATAGGTAAAAATGACCGCAACAAATAGCTATTATTGTAGTAGTGTATGCTTGGAGGAGAAGTGGAGCAATTAATACATCAATACTTATACGGAGTAGTTTTTATGTTGAGGCCCCCTAGGCATGTGAGGCCCAAGGCATTTGCCTGGACTTACTCCCCCCATGGCTGCCACTGAACTCGCGTGTAAAGAAATGTAATTCACGTTAATATGAAATGTAAGTGCAAGCAAGTCAAAATGTAAATTGTCTTATACAGACTACTCCCTCCGTCCCATTTAAACGTTCCCGTTCACTATTCTCCGGTCAACATGCATTGTTCTTAATCTTTTATTTTATATATCAAATTTTTATCAAATTTAAATCTTATTGATCAGGCTTTGTAGCGGTTTTAATGTAGTTTCTGAATATGTAAATTTTATTTACTAAAAATAATTCTACTAATGACAGAGATCAGTTAACTTTATGGTCAATCAAACATCGTAAACCGCGTGGGGACGTTTAAATGGGACGGAGGAAGTATAAGAAATAAAACATTGATTTCAATGTAAACAATGAAAAATAGTCGTATTGCTCAATTACTTTTACGAAAATAATGAATATGTTATGTTTTAAATATTAAGGTCACATTTTTTTTGAAATATTTTTTTGCAAAAAAAAAAAAGAATTTTTTGTTTTGAATAACAAGGGGTTTATTTTGTGATGCAACTCTTGTTATGGAAAATGTAATTCACGTTGATGCAAAATGTATTTTTTTTTACTCTGGGGGGTCTGGGGGAGGGGGGCTGGGGCCTAGGGGGTCTGGAGTAATTATGGCTGAAACTCACTACATTGAGTTTCAAAACCTTTTGTGCTTAGCGGGTTTCGAATTCGAGACCTCCCACTATGCACGGTAACCTCGCAACCAGCTGGGCTGGAATGCTTGGTTGATACAAAATGTAACTTATGGAAGCAAGTTCAAATGTAACTCGCGTATAGAAAGACATAACTCACGTATAACAAAATGTAACTCGCACATAAGAAGATGTAACTCCATATATTATCAAATGCAAACAATAAAAAACAATGAGTCTAATTGCTCAATTTCTTTACATAAATATTGAATATGTTTTGGTTTGTATATTTAAGGTCATAAAATTAAAAAAAAATCACTTTGTTTACTCAAAAAACCATTTTTTTTTCTCAAAAAAATCTCATTTTTTCACAAAAAAAAATGACTTTTTTGTTTCAATAGCAGGGATTTATTTTGTGATCTAACTCATGAATTCGTTCATAAAAAGATGTAACTCATGCATAGAAGATGTAACTATGTATACTATCAAATGTAACTGCATAGATTGTCTATAAACATAACTCACACATATGAAAAATGTAATCTCATGTTTTATTAAACTTAAATTGAAATATACAAACTCAATGTCTTAAAACACAGAAAACATATACAAGAGATAAGAAATATATTTTAGAAAAAGTGTATGAATATGAAAAGTATTTTACAAAAAAAGTGTTTAAATGTAAAAATATTACACAAAAAAATAAATTTGATAGTAATTTCAGTTGAAGAAAAACAGGTAAAAAATAAGTGTATGAATTAATTGTAATTTAATTAGTTGAAGATAAAGATAAGTAAAATCACAATATTTTTTAGTTTTTTGATGGGGAGAAGAAAAGAATTGAAGAAAATAAAAAAGAAAAATAAAGAGAAAGAGGTAAAGGGGAGAAAAGGTCCGTAAGGGAGAAAAGTAACATTAATTAGTTTTAAATGTATAACATTAATTCTCACACTTTACCGCGATATTAGTTTTACTATTACTATTATTATTATTATAACATTAATTCTCACATTTTAGCACGATATAAGTTTTATTTATTATTATGTCACTAGGTGAGGGTAGAGAAATGTGTGAGTTAACCAGTGAACATCAGATATTACATTTTTTGTATTCAGGACTATTCTATCCCAACAATTGTATTTAATTTTGTGCATCTCAACTATATTTATTGCTGTAATTTATTAAGCTTCATATGTTATCAAATTAAAGGTTATTGTACCTTTTTTAGTAAGTATTTAATGAATAAATGTTTTATGTATCAATGGATCCCATGGGTTATACACAGTTATACGGTTTCTTAGTGTTAGATGTAATTAAGGATGGCAATGGAGCGGGGGCCCTGGGAAACCGCCCCGTGGGGGGAGTTGGGGTGGGTGGTGGGGTGGGGCGGGTATGGGGCTGGGGGAATTATTTACTCCCCGCTTAAATTTGGAGCGGGTGATGGGTTATGCACCCCCGCACCGCCCCCGCTCCATCCTCCGTATATAT